CAAACGCCTGAATGTAGCTGGGGCGTTGCACAATCCAAACGGCATTCTCAAAAACTCATACTGCTGGCCATTGACACTGAACGCCGTCTTGTGGCGATCTTCTTCTGCGATCGGCAGTTGCCAATATCCCGAGCGGAGAACAATCAGAGATATCTGCTTCGCACTGTGAAGGCTTGAGAAAATTTCTTCTATCTGAGGCATCGGGAATGCATCCTCGACAGTCACCCTGTTAAGTTCTCTGAAATCGATGCAAAATCGATAGGTTCCGTCGGCCGTCTTCGTCAATAGCACGGGTGATGAATACGGGCTGTGCGTTCGCCTGATGATTCCTTTCGATTCCATCTCGGTCACCTGCTTCTGTACCTCAACCAAGGTGTTCTGTGGAATTCGTCTGAAGATTGGCTCGCATTGTCCTCCTGGGATCAACGGTATTCGGTGTTCAACCCAATTGCAAAATCCGTAATCATCTTCCGCGTCTGTGAATAAGTGGGCATACCTGCTCAGTACGTTGCGTATTGCACGGTTCTGACAATCAGGCACGGCTTTGAGGGCACCAACCCGGTCGGTTCTCCCCTTGTTTATCTCGATCGTCTCGTTAGCCACGATCACCACATCGTTTTTCAGGTCAATTGTGACACCGAGCCGTTTCAGGATGTCGGTTCCGATGATGGTTTCGGTCGTCTCCTCCACGATGAACATGTCATGGCTGATGAGCGTTTCTCCTATCCTGATTCGTAACCGCTGCGTGCCCGTCACTTTCAAAGAATGCCCACCGACCGTCTGCATCGTGATTGAAGATGGGTTTACTGGAACCTCATTGAACCTCTTCGTAATTGACACTGCCGCTCCTGTGTCTACTATGGCTCGGACAGACACACCTTCTATAGTTACCTGGAGGACTGGTACTCGCCACCGACTCGGCATGGATAGAGAGAAACAATGGGGCACATTGACGTTGGTGCAGAATCTCGCCACATGACCATTCTGGTTGCATCGGAAACAGCGGCGACCGTTCCGGATTACCCGTACATTGCGTTGTGAAGTGGTGCTTGAAGACTCTATCGACAACAGCTGCTCCACCATTTCGGATAGGCGATTTACTTTCTGTTCCAACTCAGCATGCTGGATGCTTCTCACTGTCACTCGTTCCGACAAATTCTGGGCGACCGTCACCAGATCCAACGCTTTGCTGTCTCCCACCATCGACGCCAATTTCACCTGATCATGGAGTGGACCGGGCAGACTTCGGATAAACTGCTGTTTCAGTAGGCGCTCTCTTGCTTTGCCCTCTAACTCGGGGAGCCCAATCGTTAGATGTCTGTCCAGCTGCTGGAAAAACACCATCAAATCCTCCTGTTCGTCCCATCTGGCTGCGTGAAATCGTTGCAGTGCTCGTTCTCTCTCCAGATCCTTCCCAAATTCTGCACACAAGGCAGCCCTCATCTCAGCGAACGAACAACCGGGTTTGGCCTTTCGAGTGAGCAGATACACCGCCTTGGCTCGTCCACTCAACCGTGTGCCCAAAGCAATTAGCAAATTTGCATCCCCCCTCACACCCGTGCAAGCCGCAATTCCGTCGAACTCATCGAGCCACGCCTCCACGTCACCGGCCGCAAATTGCTCCAACCGGGTCAACTCCATCGCGATTGGTCACGGCACCAGTGTAGCGAGAACGACAAGACAGGGGGTAGACGTTTATTGCACACCGAAAATGGGCACATCAGGGTCTCACGCGCGCCATCGAATATCGACTAGATTTCCGTCCCACTACGCAACACAGGTACGGATGTTAGAGGCGAGCCAGTCCTTTCGCCTCGGGAGCTCTGACTTGGAAGTCCCGCCTTCCTGTTTTCGCCTCGATCTCCGCTTCTCTGTACCCGATTTGGATCGGCCAGGAGTCGTTCGAGAGCTCTCGACTTGCTTGTTCTGGGCTGTGTCAATCGGCTCGGCCTCGGTCCTGTGGGCTGCGCTAGCGGCGTATTTGTCTGATTTATTGCGCTGTCCACATATTCCCGCTCCGTAGTTCCGGGCCCAGGCTCGTCGCTAGCCGTCTTTCGCGATCCGCTCTCAGCTAGCTCCGAAGAGCTCCCCAGAGCCATTCTTGGAAGCGGCCCCTCTACAATAACAACAAACTGCGAGGCCACAGACTCAAACTGCCAACCGGTTGGAATTTCTCTCTATTTGTTTGCCACATGGAATTCACTACAAGAACTTGTTATTTCAGGGAGTGCATTCACTGCGTTCAAACCTGATGTATACAATGAGCTATTCGCGTTACACCATAGAGCAAACACACCTGAATGATACTCACATTTAGAAAAGAAAACCGTATCAACCCACACTCGCTTCTCTGGGAAAATCGAAAGCGTTGATATTTGAGGTTGCATTAAACTACTTATGAACGACGTAGGTGGACAAAACTTCGCTCGGCAAGTTAATTGCTTTCCGTTCGTTTTTGTTTATGGTTGTTTTCCCTCTTCTTTTGATAAGCTCAACGCAACACCTTGTGGGACATGTTCATCCTAAGCTAGATCTCAGCACTAAACCACTGACCATACTACGTATTTTGAAGAAACGTAGTAAACCAACTGATAATAACCCTAATTTCACAAGACCAGCTGCTCGTAATTCAATCCTTTCGCAAGAACTAGTACAGGTCTGCATAATTGCAGAACGAGGAGAAAAGTAGTATAGTTTACCGTCTAACATCTCATTTGAAAAAGAAATAGCAAGGCTGCAATCAAAGATCTAGCATATGTCTTATCCACCTCCACATTGGTGATCATACTATTCCGACCGGGAGCTGTTCTGTCTACCTTAATCAGATTTAAGTAACTTGAAAATTCCCATTTAGAGTTTAAAAAAAGAACAAGAGACCATAGGTGAATAATTGTTTTCGATGATTCTTTTCAGACCATTACATTCATATTTAAGGGGAATATAAGGAACTGAAATCGACCCATTGGCTCAAATTGCATAGTTAATTAACGGAGGCTAAAAGTTGACCTTTGACCTGACAGGTCGATTGGATGGTACCGAGCGTGATCTGTGGCAGTCGACCCCAGCATCGTTCGTTCTACCTGGCCAGGGAAGCTGTAAGGTGTGGATCAAGTTCTTTTGCGAGTATAAAGAAGGTTGAAACAACCGGATGCAAATCGAAGCAGCTGTCGCGGGCGCACGGAGGCGCAAACCTCTTGATTGATGCTGGAGGACCCTGTAAATTATCCTGAAGGCACGCTTTAGATCAACTTGGTGCCCAGTGTCGACAATATAGGCCAAAACTGCGCTGCTAATGGCCCCAGTTCCTCCTTGACACAACCAGCGCGGGCAGTGCTCGTTCACGCGTTTGGATAAGTGCCGTGCCGTTCGACCAATATAAGTAGCGTCACAAGCACACTTGAACTGATAAATAACCACAAACGAGGTCAGCAATGGCAGCATATCCTTACTGCGTGAACGAACAAGTGGTTCAGTAGAAAATATACACCTTAACCTGGCTGCTGGGAATGTTGACTTGACTGCGGCTGAAAGACTTTTGGTTAGGCACTCGGATTTGGGTGGTTAGGATGGGGGCGAGTTGGTTGGAATATGATTATCTTCTACCCCATGTTAAGCTTATACCTAAGGATCCGTCACAAAAGTGCTATTTCATCATGTAAAGCAAAAAGTTACGTGGAGCGAATTGTATCCATTCCGCTGCGACGGATATCGTTCCGCTACTTATGTTACTGACAACCTGACTTCAAGAGCAAACGGTAGCTTGTATTGCGTGTTTAACAATCCGATCGAAGTAGCCTGAGGCCACATCAAAACGACGCAATCTATCCGCGCCTCTTGCATAGAGCACTTCGCATTACCAAGCCAACATTGTTCGCTCTAGTCCTCCATTCATCGCATATCCCTAGCCTCAAACAAACATCTCCCTTGCTTGCTCACACAAGGGACTTGGCTATGTCCAGTGTTCCAGAAAATTTCTCTGTGCATTCCAGCACATGTCCCAGATATTCCATACTTCAGTGAGAGTGTACGCGGTACAATGTGCACCGGCTGAGATGCGTTTAGTAAGGTCGCAATTGCCGTCCATTGGAATTGGACCACGCTGGTCTCAACCAAGTCTAACAATTTTCCTACCTCCCTCCCAAAGCGTGAGTATTTTGCGTCGCAGGTGTGTTTAGTCTCTACGCTATGCCGAAGTCTATTGGCCGCTAGCTATTGCCAAGGCAATGCGAAGTGGATGCAAGTGAGCTGAGTATGGCATGATAGCAGCTGCACTAAGGATGACAGCTGATGCACTAAAAATGCAAAGGACTGCGCTAAGGATGTTACCAAGAGAGAAATGGTATAGTGACACTTTCTCAACTACATGATTGATGCCCTCAAGACAGTTCTTGCCACAGTACATGTTGTGCAGTATTAGCTTGGTGTATTCTGCTCTCTCTGCCTCGCTTCGGCTACGTGCTATTAATGTGCTCAAAGCAGTTAGTTCTCTTTAGAAATTTGAAAAGCACGGCAAGAAGACAAAAGCTGGTAGATGCATGTATTTCGTATTGTCTCCTCAGCACCATTAACAATAACCGGTATGCCACTATATACTTAACTATGGGGGTGACCAAATAAGCATAAGAGGTGCAAAATGAATGACAGCAGTCTTAAGATAGCAAATAATTGCTTTTGTACACACAGGGCTGGCTTCATCCGGCTTATCGCAATGTTCTCGGCGAAACGGAAGAAGCGCGGATTAAGGTGACGTAACACAAGTGTGAACGCTGATTCAAGCTTCACCCGGTGGCGAGTAGTCAGTAGGTGTTTACCTAATGAGGAAGCTGGCGGCTTGCGCAAGCACGGAACTTCAGTGGGACAGGGATGCTGGTCAATTTCACGTTGAACCCATCTTCGGGAAGTCAAAAACCGACTGGGTCTGATTATGTTACTGTCTCCGCAGTCGCACAGGAATTTGTATATGCAGTGTGAGTTGGCCCCGATCGGTTGAGTTTCCTTCCTTGGAGGCGGCGGCGAGTTATGGGTTCGATTGATGAGCACAATCTGAGCAGCACAGTAACTACTCTGCGTATTAGGGATTAAACATTTCGATACAGTAAAGTCCCCATTGAAAGGCAACTCGAGATAGATCTTTTTCTTGGCTGCCGTATGCAGCAAGTCTTTCGGGCCTCGCTGTTGGCTGTTTCTCTATAAATCTACGTGGATAACCATTTGCAACGAGTGTTGTTGTAATCAACTCCAGCTCGCCGGCTAGACAATCAGCCGAGCAAATTCGTCTGGGACGACTAACTAAAGTTTTTACAAGGGTCCGCTTGTACGGCTGGTGAAGTGCAGGTATTGGCCGGACCATGTTGCTTTTCTGTAGATAGACCTCTTAATGAGCCCGTCATCCATGCGATTGATGAGGACGTCTAAGAATGGCAGACAGTTCTTCTGTTCCACTTCGCAGGTGACCTGCAAGTTAGCATGTGCACAACCGAGTTGCTGAACCAACTGAACAATCTGCTGCTCCGAAGAACAAAACGCCAATATGTCATCCACATAACGATTATAGTATGGTAACTTGGCTATTTCTGCGGATATGCCACTTTCTATCATCGGCATGAAAAAATCGGCGAGTACAGAACTTTGTGGGCTGCGCACTGCCACACCATCCATTTGACGATATGGGGTGTTCTGAAAGTGGAAGCAAACATTTGCTGTACACAATAGCAAGGATTCCTTTAGAAATTGGACTGGAATTGGTAACGAATAAATAGATTGCTCAGCTAGCTCACATGTGAACAACAGTTTGTTGTAGTGGGACGTTGGTGAATAGAGATTCCACATCCAAGGAACACATGACCTTATTGGAGAGGTTGATGTCATCTAAGTCATCGATAAGTTGAAACGAATCTTTAAGACTATATAGATTGGACATTTGTCTCAGAGGAGGAAGTATCTTCATTTGCCAACGAGCCAACTTATGCTGCGGCGCACTTATCATGGATAGAATCTGCCTAAGTGGTACTCCACTCTTGTGCATCTTCGGTGACCCATATAGCTAGGGAGTAGTGCTGCCACTTGGCTTCAAACAATTATAGATGTCACTATCAATCACGCGATGAAGAAGAAGCGTTTCAAGATGGGCAGCCATGCTAGCTTCAACGTCGGCTACATTCTCCAACTTATTAAGTCGTTCAACTTTGCTCGTGTCTTTGAGTATGCTACCCATTTTCTGAGCATACTCGGCCTTGTTCATGACCACCACTCGAGAGTCCTTATCCGGTTTCATCACAACTACGTTCTTAGTACGCAGTTCACGCAGCGCCTGAAGGAGTCGGCTTGTAAGTGCGCATTTTTCAGTCACGGGCGCAGTCTTAACTTTGTGGGCAATGTCGGTCAATTTGTTTCTAAACCAAAAAACACTCGCAGGACTTGGTGGTTAAAGTTTCTTAAATTGATCAAAAAAGTTCTCAAACTGAATTTCTATAAAAAACCGTCCAGTTTTCTAGGAAGAATTTTGTAATTAAGCCAATATGAAAATGCTTCTAAAAGTAACGCGTGAAGTTGTACGTCTGATAAATTCACCTCGTACTTACCAGGATCACGAACAATTGGCTCCTAATCCTGGCTGTTCGTAAGCGAGTTCTCCAATCAAGTCTTCCGATTTCGTGTTGTACCGTCGAGAGTGGATTTACAAAAGTTAGCGAACACAACACGACAACACAAAAATAAATCCTCTATTACATGGAGTAGGCGTGCGTGAGTTTCCAGTAAACTCAGAAGTTTGGACTCGGCCGTCTCCAAGTGAGCGGATGCCACACGTTTGAGGTTAGCCACAGGTAGTTTGAGTTTATTTCTACGATTCGTAAAAAAGAATATTTCCACAAGTGCGCACAAAATCTTGCACTTCAGTCATTTGATAGTTTCAGCAGGAATTCGTCGTTTGAGAAACTTAAAGCAGTTAGCTCCCTTCAGAAATTTGAAAAGCACGGTAAGAAGACAAAAGCTGGTAGATGCATGCGTTTCGTATCGTCTCCTCAGCACCATTAACAATAACCGGTATGCCACTATATACTTAACTATGGGGGTGACCAAATAAGCATAAGAGGTGCAAAATCAATGGCGGAAGTTACGCCCTTATGTCCACGGAAGCCTTAAGCTGGCAAATAATTGCTTTTGTACACACAGGGCAGACTTACGGCAACGGCCGCATCGAAACGAAGGAAGCGCGGATTAAGGTGACGTAACACAAGTGTGAACGCCGATCCAAACTCCATCCGGTGACGAGTAGTCAGTAGGTGTTTACCTAATGAGGAAGCTGGCGGCTTGCGCAAGCACGGAACTTCAGTGGGACACGGACGCTGGTCAATTTCACGTTGAACCCATCTTAGCACGAGTTCCTTTATTCGGGAACTCACACCGATTGGGTCTGATTATGTAACTGTCTCCGCAGTCGCACAGGAATTTGTATATGCAGTGTGAGTTGGCCCCGATCGGTTGAGCTTCCTTCGTTGGAGGCACCGGCAAGTTACAGGTTCTATTGATGACCACAACCTGAGCAGCACAGTAACTTCTCTGCGTAGCAGAGATTAAACATTTAGTGGTTTTCGATACAGTAAAGGCATTCTTGAAATGCAAATCGAGATAGATCATTTTCTTGGCTGCTATATGTACAGTCTTTCGGGCCTCGCTGTTGGCATGTACCAAGATGGATTCAGCGTAAAATTGATCAGTATTCCTGCCCTACTGAAGCTCTGTGCTTGCGCAAGCCGCTAGCTTCCTCAATAGGTAAACACCTGCGCGTCACCGGATAGAGCTTGGATCAGCGTCACCCCAATCCGCGCTTCCTCCGTTTCGCCGAGGCTGTTGCGATAAGCCGGCTCTGTATGTTCAAAAGTAATTATTTGTCAGCTTACGACTGCTGTGGACATAGGGGCGTAACTTCTATCATTCATTTTACACCTCATGGTTATTCGGTCCCACCCATAGTTAAGTATATACTGGCATACGGGTTATTGTTAATGGTACTGAGAATACAATACGAAATGCATGCATCTACCAGCTTGCGTCCTCTTACTTTTATTGTGTTCCATGGCTGGCTTTATTTTCACACGTATAGATTTGCTGTCGTGAAATATATACTGTGGTTTAGGGAATCCCAAACGCCATATTGACAGACCATGGTCCGTGAGTATAGAGCGAGGAAGCCTAGGCCAGTTTAGAGAAACTCGGTGTCAAGAAACTATGAACAACCCCTGCTTTTCGCACACGGCTTGATGAAGCAGGATAGTAGTTAACTGTTGGAAAAACAGAATACTGAAAGGAAAGTTTGCAACTATTCTTGCTGACCCATCAGGCGCCTAAACATGCTTTCACAAAGAAATCGATTTTTGCGTTAATGCAATTCCGAGCAACTCGACTCCCCGCAGGTCTAGCATTTTGCATGTGGCCTGCCTGCCGAATAGTTGCAAAGGTAGTACAGGACAGCATAAAGGCAGCGAAGCATCCAATAAAGCAACTCGGGCGCGGGGAATGAAAAACTCACAGACTAACAATGATAAGATGAAGGATGAGTTTCTAATCGGTTCTAAAGTGGAAAACAGGGATCACCAACGTGCGCGCTCATGTGGCCTAGAGGAAAGGAAAATCTGACCGAAATGGAAGGGGCTCAGTGTGTAGCATCTTTCGGCAGGGATATTCACGGCGGGTACATGTCAGTGAACTGAGGACGAAGACGAATTGGAAGGGGAGCGCCTTCGCACAGTGAGCAGCCGCGAACATCATAATGATTCCTAGCAAAGGGGGCGAACACTCTGAAAGTGATTGTGGTGGACCGAAAGCCGTAGTACAGTGACAGTTTTCAGTAGCATACAAGTACCAAGAAAGCTAGACGATAATTGACAAACAAAGGACTATAACGCCGCCCCGGCGGATGAATATGAAGAAGCGTTGCCTGCTACGCAGCTTCTATGAATGAATTCGTAGATAAGTAGAACGGTTGATGGTCAGAGCATATGAATATGGTTGGTGATATCACAATAAATAGCTGCGTTCACGCCTTCGGTTCTTGTAATGTGTGTGATTTTCAATAGTTGACTTTTAGCCCCATACCCTCCATATCCTCGTGAATGTCGTTATCTCGGTTACTCGCCGACTAAACTCCAGTAACGAATGACGTAGTGGATAAGGCTTTCCTTTTCTCCGTCAACATACAAATTCTGCTCTGCTACTAAACCTCACACGTGAGGTTATTTGATTTCGTGAAGAATATACCAAAGTTAAGCCACCCACACTACAGACACAGCGGTCTAGTGAGGTTAGAGAGAGCGCGGGGGTGTACGCGTACACACTAACTATGGACTCTGTCAGTGATTTGCATAAATTCACCGAGGAACTGGAGATTCCGTGTCCCATTTGGTAACAAGAGAATATACCTGATGTCTGTATTCAGGCTGCCTCTTTTCCCACGTAGTTGGAAAAGCGCTATCGCACCCAACATCATGGGCACTTTCATAAGCAACCTGTTGACACAAACTGTCAACTAGCATGGACCCAACCGTAAATATCGCATTTCAGGCGTTCTGTATGTGAGACGAACCGTCAGGAAGCAGGAATTTGAATTTTGACCCAAAAGCTTCTATAATCTACGTAATGTGTAGGTGATACACTAGAGGTAAGGACCGGGCAGTTGAAGGTAAAACTAAGCGATGAATATAATACGTGGGGGAACGTTAACCTCTATAACCACCGGAGCAATCTGTCTGTAAACTCGTTGCCGTAATTCACCGATGTCCGGTAATATAATCATTTAGTATAGTCTCCACAACTTTGCCGATAAACGACAATATCTAGGTACTGTTTGTGTGTTTGTGAGACAAACAGACGCTCGCACTGTATGGGAAATCGGGGCAATAACGGGCTAAGATAAGACAGTGTAGGACCATCCTTCTAGACTACGATCGGACCGGCCATGGATGTCAATTATGATTGACCTTCGGGTTCGCATCTCAAAAGTATGTTCCGTTTGGCGTCAAATCGGCCGCTAATCCAACGGTCATCGGACGGCTATCGGACACTTGTGACGATAGGGCTATGCCCTTTGAATGGTCTTTAGATGAATTAAACTATAAAGAATTTACAAGTAGTGCAAAATTGATACAAAACACAGATCTGGGTTGAAGGTTACTCTTCGGAAGAAAAATAGAGAACACCATCACATCAATCCCTTACATCAAACACCCTTACGCTATTAGGTAAAACACATGGAAGAACGAGTAACATCAAGTCCTGTGCACATTCGCAGCTACGCATCAATTGCCACATGGGACCTGGAGGTGGATGACACGTCTGTAGAAGGTAGTAGGATTCTAACCCTTCACGTGCCGACGGAACGATGAAAAATAATTTCAATTCCCATCGACTCGACCACCTTTGCGTTTACCGAAACTGTGATTGGGAGGCCATCGTTTACACCAACTCCTCCTGTTGCATATCTACGAAAGATTTGTTTGGCTTCTCTTTACAACGGATTTTGAGGTGCAAGCGAGTATCGCTCAGTACTAGTAGCTGGCAGCTATAGTTACTCCTCATGTTAGAAAACTGAAACAGAAGCGTTTTACGATGAGTTTACTGCGGCTGTCATAGAGTACCCGGTATA